CGTGACCGAGGTGTTAAGAGCGTGGACGGTCTCGTACCGCACAGCCTCCCCGGTGCCACGCCGCCTCTCCACTTAAGGGGCGTGGCCTTCCGATTTACGGCCATCTAACCCTAAAATTTGCTCGGCCGTTATTTTTTAAGCAAACGTGTGCTCGTTTTACTTAGAAATAGTGGACCACGACCTTGTGACAGTAGCACTCTTTTTCGTCAACAATGAAAAGAAGTGTGACAAGTGGAAAACATTAGCTAGAGGCTTGCGTGGAATGGGAAGGGATAATGCGTGCCTCGGTTTGATGGTCCTCGAGGTGATAATCTTTTATCCTGATCTACAGGGAGCCTGGGAGGATGCTGCACAGTGGAGGAGCCCAGAGCCTGGGGGACTGCAGCGAAATGAGCAGACTGGGAATTCTCCCAGACAAATGAGTGCATCGTCAACCCCAGATGGTGGCCTTCTACACCAGAGAGTAGACTGGGGAAAGGATACTGTACCTAGGAGCTTCTAGCAGTTGCAGCCTCTGGAGGTTCCAAATGTAGTCATTGTGAAGTGCACAGTTAAACACCAGGAGATGACACTAACGATTAGACACGGTGAAGAACACAGATTTGCAAGGCACCATGCTCTACTGCATACAACACCAAATCACATGTTAATATTGTAACAGACATTTTTGCTATTTTGAAATTTTACACATCTTTTGCAAATCAGAGATGCAGGTGCAAATATGAATGAAGAGAGCTTGGCATGAGCTACTCTCAGGTGAATACACTTGCCTATTTTTTTACTTTCTTTTCTCAAGAGATAGGGTGTCTTTATAATCATCCTACCTCAGCCTCCCGAATGCTGGAGTGTGGAGTGTGATGACTAGCTCCTCTTCTTAGTCTCCAAATTTCATTAGGTTCCAAATGTCATTTGGAATCAGTGTTTTCTTCTTTACTCCTGGGTCGTAAATTACTCCATTTGTATTCTAACAGGAAGCAGAACTGCGGTATTTTAGGCTGTAGTCAGTTTTATACAGACAGAATACCATTTTAGAACTTGAAGACAGGTGTCTTGGATTTTGAAGTAAAATAAGTTGCCTTCGTTTTACATATGAGGAAATTTTCTCCAAAAGACTTCGTATGCTATTGTAAATTTTAATTTTAAGAAATTTTTTAAAATTGCAAAACCAGGACTGGAGAGACAGCTAGGCAGTTAAGAGCACTGGCTGCTCTTGCAGAGGACCTGGGTTCAGTTCCCAGCACCTACATGTCAGCTAACAACCATCCATAACTCCAGTTCCAGGGGATCCAAGGCACTTTTCTGGCCTCCTCATGCATTGCATGACACGGGTGCACTTACATGCAGGCAGTACACTCCACTCATACACATAAATAAAAATTTTAAAACTTGCAAATCATTTAAATGTGTTATAAAAGTGTGGAATTAAAGTGCTTCACAGTCATTTGAATACTCAAATGTATCATAAAGAGATTTGAGGGCTTTCTTTTTTTTTTTTTTTTTTTTGGTCTTTTTTGAGACAGGGTCTCCCTGTAGCCTCAGCTGTTTTGGAACTCACTATGTAGACCAGGCTGGCCTTGAACTCTCAGAGATCCGCCTGCCTCTGCCTCCCGAGTGCTGGGATTAAAGGCCTGTGCCACCACACCCGGCCTTGAGGGCTTTCTTTAAATAAAATATTTAGAACTGGGGAGATGCAAAGCATTAAGGACCTGAGTTCAGATCCCCAGAACCCACATAAAGTCAGGAGTAAGAGGCAAGAGTAGGTAATCTCAGAGCAAAGACAGAAATACCTGGCAGCTCAAAAGCCAACTAGCTTGATTTATGCAGTAGTGATCAAGAAACCATCTCAAAGTGGGAGTCGAGAATCAATACCCAATGTTATTATCCTCTGACCTCCATGCACACACTGTGGCATGTTGCACACACACTCATACACTCACACTTATACACGACTTTAAAATATTTAGAGATTTTATTCAGGGCATATAAAGAATTCAAAATTTAATCATGAGAGTAACAGAGCAATTAAAAGTATGCAAAAGATAGGAATGATTATTTTAGCAAAGAGGATAAAAAGTGAGCCACGTGTAATCCCAGCACTTGGAAAGCAGAGGCAGGTGGATCAGGAGGTGATCAAAGCCAGCCTTGGCTCCATAATATTCAAGGCCAGCCTGGGCTAAATGAAACACTGTCTCAAAAATAAATTAAATAAATAAATAAATAAGCACATGACAACATGTCTCACTTCATTTCACTAAATCACTAGAAAAATGCAAATTTGAACTACAGAGAAGCCCAGCATTCAAGGGCTGACCCAGGAGAATCATGAGTTGTACAGTGAGACCTTGTCTCATAAATATATATATATATGGAGAGAGAGAGAGATACTAATAATATATATGTTTTTTTTTTAATTTTATATGTTTTATTCTCAAACACAGCCCACTCAGCAGAGCACCATGGACTATGGCTGTGTAGTTCCAAATTGCATGTTCTTCCACAAAGAGTCATGGGATTGGCTGTAGGGCACCTGGAATTGAGGGGCCAGGAATAATTGACTGAGCCATTAAGTCATAGTCATTTCCAGATGATCCTACAGCTACATAGAAATAGGAGCTCTGAGCCAGGGGTCAGCACACCAATGAGATACCAAGTTTCCTTGGACTGGAGCACCACACTACTGCCAAAAATCCCTGCGAGAGTGACTAGGCACCAGCCAACAAGCACATCATCACTGATGTGATATATGTGTATCATCACTGATATATATATATATATATATTAGATTTAAAACCACAGAGATACTACTGACTATTAGAATAAGAAAAAAAAGACTGACAAGTATTAGTGAAGATGAAAATTATGAAACAAATATAACTTTCATACTTGAAGGAGTATGGGTGAGTCAAGCACTTTGGCTATATTTATATTTATTTGGCTATATTTATATTTATTTAAAAAAACCAGACATGGTGGCACATGCATATGATCCAAGCTGAGGCAGAGGATTACTGTGTGCTCAAGGCCAGCCTGAGCTGCATAGTGAATTCCAAACCAGCCTGGGCTGCAAAGTGAGACCCTGTCTCCAAAAAATAAATAGATAAAGCAAACATAAACACTCCTCAGAATCTGAGAGTAATTTTTGACATATTGCTAATGCTTGTCTCAAGTTTTTCTAGTGAAAATACCTCCAAGATACCCTTAATCTCAAATATTTTTCTTATTCCATGGTATATTTACTTTGTTATTCTATTTGTTATTGTTGTTACGTTGGTTTTCTGAGACAGAGTCTTGCTAAGCTAGGCTGGCCTCCTATTGTCTCAGCCTTCCAGTATTGGGATTACAGGCATGTACCACCACACCTGGTCTATATTTTTTAAAATATTTATTATTTTTATTTTATGTCTATGAGTGTATTACCTGAATGTGTGTTTGTGCACTCCTGTCATGCAATGCCTACGGAGGTCAGGAGAGAGCATCAGATTCCCCTGGAACTGGACTTACAGATGGTTGTTAGCTGCCATGTGGGTGCTGGGACTCAAACCTGGGTCCTCTGCCAGAGCAGCCAGTGCTCTTAACTTCTGAGCCATCTCTCCAGCCCCCTGGTCCATATTTTTTATGAAAGCTTTTTTTTTTTTTTTTGGTTCTTTTGAGACAGGGTCTCCCTGTAGCACCAACTGGCCTGGAACTCCCTATGGAGCCCAGGCTGGCCTTGAACTCACAGAAATCCACCTGCCTCTGCCTCCCAAGTGCTGGAATTAAAGGCATATGCCACCACACCTGGCTATGAAAGTAATTTTTAAATGCTTTACTAGAGATGGGGGTATAGTTCAGTTGCAGAGCAACTGCTTAGCATTCATGAGGAACTTTGTTCCATCCCTAGCAAAACACACACACACACACACAAAACAAAAAAACAACAACAAAAAACTTTACTATTTCCTTTTCTTTAAACTGATCCCCCAGGAAGATGCACCATTAGCATAGATTCACCTTCTTCCCATCCTCTATAATGAAACACCAAATACACCTAAGATTTGCTTGTTGGAAAAGGTTTGGGTAATAAAGTACCTAGGAGGCTATGCCTCTAACAGAAGTGTCTCACAACCATTTTTGTCTGTTTTATTTACAGCTAGCTTCCCAAGTAACTAAAAATCCCAGAAAGTGACAAAGACACGATACATGCTATATGGATCTTGAATGTCCCCCAAGGGCCCATGTGTAAAAGATCTGGTTCCCAGAGCAGCATCATTGAGAGGTGGGCCTTGTAGGAGTTCTTCAGGTCATTGGGAGTGTATACTTGAAAGAGACACTGGGACTCTAGCCCCTTTCTTGTCCCCTCCTTTTTCCTAGCTCATGATTTAAGCAGTTTTACTCTCCCATGCACTCCTGCTTCTTCATTATACCCCAGAACACAGGACCAATCAGCCATGGACTGGAACCTCCAAACATAAGTTCGTTATCTTGGGTATTTCATTACAGTGGCAGAAAGCTGACTAACAAGATATATAAGCATGAGACTACATATTATATATTCTATCTGAAAACAAAACTCAACTGAGAACTGTCTCTTGGATACAGAAATGTTTGCTCCAACCTGACTCCCCCACCACCAAAACTGTTAATAATCTCTACATTAAGAGTGCTA